TGTTTCTGTGTTTTATCAGGACGTGCAAGAAATTAAGGTTGTGGTCAGAGGCGGACTGGGGGCCGGTAGAAATAGTGAATTAATAAAGAATAATATGTCTTCTCAACAGCTTTCTGAAGTATGAGACCATTTTATCTGCAATTTTGATTAGAGAAATCTTCTATTTCACCACTCCTCTTCCGAGCTAACTACGAATATCAGGTTCCAATGGATATTTCAGAAGCATACCGAATCGTCGGAAAAACCATGAATTCCTTGAAAAAATATCGCGAGAATATGATGTCATTTTGATTGATACACATAAATTCATTGATAAAGCAAATTAACTATTTATATTCAAAGAACACGAAATAAAAAAAGTTTATTGATGAGAAAGGTGATGATGACGCACCTCAAAATCCCATCAAGAAATTCAAAATTGAAACTTTTAATGTAATCATTGATAATATTATCACCGCACTGGAATTTAGATTCAAACATAAAGAATTGTTTCATAATTTTGAACTATTTGATCCGACAAGATTCACAGATGATCAAATGATATTGACTGAAAACTCAATAAGGATGATTTATGGAAATATCAAAAATAATTATCCTTCTGATAAAATAAGCCTTGATAGATTTTACCTCGAAGTGGGAAGACTGTTGATTACTTTATCAGAAGATATGATGGGTGGAGGAACTTATGTCTTCAATGTAGAAGAGGAATTGATTTCATCAAAACACAAGTTTCGCAAAACATTTTCACTATGTTCCTTCCATGGTTTGCACAAATAAAATTTTCACGTTGAGGTATATCCATATTCAGATAAAATTATCATCACCTTTTCAGTATCGCAGGTGTCATGTGAAAAATCTTTCTCAAAATTTAAATTTATTTTGATTAGGCTAAGAAATTATCTGAGCCAAGAACATGATGAGCTGCGAAAAACAACTTTTATCCTCTGTGTGATTTTTGTATCTAGCTTAGTTTTTGAAAAAACAATAAAAATTCGATTTGACTCCAAATTTTAATGTAGAGGAGTTTCATTGAGATTACTCAATAACCCCAATTAGAATCATTCTGAAACTTTGTGGCTTTCTCGGTCTTCATCCATACTGAATTTTGGCACCATGAAAGCTTATGCAGGTGGTTACAAATGAAAATAATTATTACTTCCAACTTCAATCAACATCCTGTATCTCAAAAACGGAGCAAGTTAGGATTAGCTAGAATGTCACAAGGAAACACCACTTGAATTTTTTCGGTGTTATTTGGATAGGACATGATTTTTTCATAAAAGAGTTTTGCTGATGGAAATCCCGAGCAAAGATTGGTGTGCATGGTGCTACCAGACATTGTTAAATCAGGCATACTGAGTTACGCATTTTTAGAGCAGATATACAGGCTCGAGTTTTGGTTTCGTTGAATTCAAATAGGTTGTTGGTTCCCCTGGCTAAAATTTTAGCGAGATCCTCATTGACAGCCTTCGCCGCAAGTTCTTAATTTCCTGGGCATGAATGAGAATGCAAAGCTGAGGAAATGGCGAGTGATTACTCTTAACAGATCATTGATATTATGCAGTACCTAGGGACAATGTTGGTAGTTGGTACCAAAGCGGATCCTTGTGGAACGCCGGAATCGGTGGCAATGATATCAGACGATACTCCGGCAAAAGGTCTAGTAGTATTGGATCTATTTGAACTACAATTTTTTTGAACAGGAAAACGCCGGACAGTTTTGCTATTGTTTTAGTAACAGACAAACAAAAATCGGTGTGCAAAAAAAGACTTTGAATGAGCTCCAGTTGGACTTTACTATAGCTAAAAATTCAATCTCGGTTACTTACTTCAGGAAAACCATTCGAAAAATCACAATCGACAACTATACTCCGCGAATGTTGGAATCCGATTTGAAGGCGCACCGAAGGACTTTGTGGCCGCGTCCGATTGTTCACGGGACAGATCTGACGGACGTCCGAATGGAACGACGTCCCTATCCTAGAGGCGTCCAGTGTTGCCAAACTGTTTACTTCTAAGTGAAGACCGTGGAGACGCGATTTTAGTTGAATCTCTAATATTCTAGGGATAGAATTCGAAATTTCAAACTTTTCTAGACTACATGATTTCAGCACTCTGGGGTTCTATTTTCGAACCGTTCGAATTCAATTCGTATACGATAAAAGAAGGATACACTTACGTATGTGACGTATGTTGAAGTGAAAAAGAAGATCGAAATCTTATACGAATTACGCTCGAGAATAGACCCCTTGATATCTTTCGGAAAGGAGAATTAATATAGCGGTTGAATTTTGAAAAATTCCCATCCCCAATATTTTCCTCCCAGTAAATTTTATGAAATATCGAAAGATGAGGTCAATTTTGTTTTCCCTGGATGTCCCAATCATGTCCTTGTACCGCGGACGAAAAAGGGACGTACCTAGGACATCCCTCTGTGTTGTTAGGGAATCAACCAAGAGCGCTGAAAATATCAATTCTAGGTTGTCTATCCTTGAGAATAAAATTGCTTATTCAAAGGAAGATATTATGAGGGTAGGAAGTTTTCAAAATGTCTTCTTTTGAAAATATGATTATCAAATATTTTTTCGTATTCCAAGACTGATTTGCATTTTCTAAGATTTTTTTGTTTTTTGGTACTGATAACTTTCAAAGAGGGAGAATGTCGTGCATTTGGCAACAATGTATGGCGTCGCAACGCACGCGTCTAAAGGGCGCCGTTATAGAGCCAAGGGATGCTGGGACGAGAAATGTCTGGATAAGCTTTCAGGTTCTTGATGTCATCTTTCGTCTCCACGGACTGCTTGATAAACAAGAGTTTCATATTTCACATTTGCTGTTTTGCGTTCATACGCACAGGGTTAAAGGTCATACATGTCCTTTGGATATAATATATTATTGATTATTTCCCTCATCTTATAATAAATTCTCTCATAATCTGACGAATTGCAAGCCAAAGACAAATTTTGTATTATCGCGTATTCTGACTGGCCTATCAGCATTGGTGTTTTTAACGATATGTAACCAATTCAATGCCATAAATACATTCGTATTTGTTGAGAAAGCTCGTACATATACATATTTGAATTAAATATAATAAACAATATGCAATTCAAAATGTGAAGCTTACTGAAACACATTCAAAAATATACAATCAAAAGCTCGTATAAAGCCTTAGTTAAATTTAAAAAACAACAAAGATAGACAATAATAAACATATTATAACATATTATAATGAAACTATCACATGTGTGAGCTCCTATGAAGCCATAGTCAAATATTTATAGAGTAAATGTTGTATAAAACGATCATTTTGAGAACTAAACAAGAAAGGAAGGGATACATAATTTCAGAGTCTCTGTGAAGAATATTCCGCGAGACTGTATAGTGGAGTCTGAACGAGCAATATTTTCACCTTGGTCCGGAATTTTTTGTTACACGGCGGAATTGCTTTGATATGATTTGACGAATGATTGAATATCTGTATATTCCAAATGATGGAGTCTTTGATCATAGTGGTACGGGGTCTCATCAATTTAATTTGTCCGTTCTGTCTTGTGTTGTAATGTGATGTGATCCAACAAGCTCTAAAGAATCTATGTTTTTTTTTTGTATCAGAGCCGTTGTTTCCAAGATGTATAAGCCAACTACGTCAGGATGCCGCAATTCTTGAATAAAAAATGTCTACATGAGTCCCTCAATTGATTTCGCTCCACACATATTATCTTAGGGCCCGTTTTTGTAAGACAAAACTCCTCTGGAATAGCTGATCACTGGCAGACTCCCCAGAATGCAATTCCATATCTCAAATGAGATTCGATGAGATGAGGGCAAACTATGCAGCTCTGCAGCCATCCTAATTCTGCAGCAATAGTTCTAACAGCGAAACATCCAGATATACTAACTTTCTACACATAAATGTTACATCTTCATTGAATATTTATTTTTTGTCAATGTATTAACCTAAAAGCTTGGTCGACGATTTATTGTCTATTTTTTCACTTCCCATACCTGAATTTGGCAGATTGCATTGGAAGGATAAGATATTCCTTCTCTTTATATTGAGCGATGGTCCGATGGATATATTGAAGAAAAGTCTTGTCAGTTTGATATAAAATAATATTAAATAGCTGTATATGTCAGAATGGGTCGCATCGATGGTTATATGGCTAGTTATTCATTATTCATGATCTCAAATCATGCTTTCTATGCTTCGTGAAATAGTCTAGGAAAATACCACTCAGTTCTGAATATGCCATACAGCAAGCCAACTCGTCCTGACGCGTTCGCGTGGTGTTGTTTGGCAAAACAATTTCGTGAACAATGAAGCGACAAAATTATCTCGAATATTCATCAGATATGTCTCGTCTCTTGAATTCATAATTCCTCAATGCTTTTCCATTGTTTCTGTGAAGCTCATTACCATTCAATTCATCTCAACTCAAAAATTTATAATTCTGCACTATAGTGTATAATCATCAATGAATTTTTTAGTTTGAGAAATAATGAGGATAGAGATTCATACTACACGAGTGCAATTTAAAAAAAATCATGCACCCCGCGAGTAACTCATGACGTAATAGGCCCTTTCTTTTGCACGAAAAGTGTAGCACTTTCGTACACTTCGTTATAATCAGTTCTACCAACCTTGGTATTGGACATCGTATGCGACATCTATCGAAATAGACGGAGTACTAGTTCTGTTCTGACGTTTCACAGAGTCCTGTAATAAGACCGTCTTTCGATATATAGACAAACAGGTTTCTGTAACATGAAAAAGGTATTTTTGTTACAGGTTTCTGCCTATATTACAGAAACCTATAATACGATGACCGTCTTCATAGTACAGGAACCGTTTGCCTTTTACAGAAACCTGTAATGATGACTGTGGGCTGTAAGTTTTGAGTTCTATGTATCATAGAGATGTGAATTCTCTTTTTCTATGGTTTTGTGCTCGTTATAAATGAATGACATTGACAAAATGACAAAAATACTAACATGGTTTACATGGTGGACTTTCAAGGGCAACGTATTCATCCTTAAACGTCAACATTTCTGTTAGGATTTAGAGGTGTCGGTGTCGATATTTTAGGACTTTTTCTCAATAAATTAGAAAACTCCTTAATAAATATTAATTAGAATGTTCGATACCATAAGGAGTACGGCCAGTTTCAAAATGTCTGTAGTATTATTTCTGTTGGTAAGTGGGTACCCTACTCTATATTCAAAAAGCTCTTCAAACTCCAAAACGAAGATTTATGAACATTTTTTCCCTTCCTTCTCGTTCCATATTGATTTCACCTACATGACTTCCAACTATTTCTTCACTTTCATTGTAATAAATATGTCTAACCTAAATTACTCATTTTACCTTTTTAGGTTACCTGTTTACTTTATAATCCTACAGATAGTGGGGCAGTCCACCTCACTCAACAAAATGTAGACATGACCCTAGGTATTTCTATTTCCCACTAGTCCTCAAAACCCCTATAACCACCCTATATTTTTTGCAGCTTCTAATGAATTAGTTTTCATAAATTTCTATGCTGATTGGTGTAGATTCAGTAATCTGCTGATGCCTATTTTTGATGAAGCTGCTGAAGCTGTAGCCAAAGAATTTCCTGAAGCTGGCAGGGTTGTTATGGCCAAAGTTGACTGTGATAAGGAAAGTTCTATATCAAGTAGGTTCCATATAACCAAGTATCCCACATTGAAGGTAGTGAGAAATGGACAACCTGCTAAGAGGGAATACCGTGGGCAAAGGTATTAATTCACCATTTTTTCAGATTGTATAAGTTTTTTGCCTTTTTTTGATAAAAATAAATATTGTAGGTCTGTAGAAGCTTTTACAAGTTTCATTAAAAAACAGTTGGAGGATCCCACTAAGGAGTTCAAGGAGTTGAGAGAGTTGGGAGAGCTGGAATCCAACAAGAGAATCATTATAGGTATGTTCAAAAGTTTCAAATTATTCATTGGTTAATGATATTATGTCTCACTCTGTATTTCTTAAATTTTTCTGTGATACTACAGCTCCACATTTGCATTTGTAATGTATTTTTAATCTAATCATAAATACATAATTATGGCAAGGTCAACTATTAACAATACATGAATTCCTAATAATTATTTATGTATCTCCATAATATGTTGCAGTTAGAATGTGTCCCCTGTTGATAAAAACTGTGCAGTCAAGTGAACTGCATATAAAATGTTCTTCAATTTTTATATGATCAATATCACACTCATCAGCAAAAAAAACAAAAGGCCAACAAAAAATTTGGCAAATTGATTGCCCTGTATATTTTTCAATTCTTGTCTGGTTTTGGTGAGATTTTTATTGAATTGTAGGTCAATGATTTTAGGACAGCTGATGATTTGATCAATATACAATCAAAACAAAATGTACTCTTTCACCCTTAACTTCTGATGCTCTGTGATAAGATTGAGTGATAGAAATTAGCTTCATTATGATCTGGATTGAAATGTGATATTCTCATGGTTCTTGATTCATGTCAATATCTAATTTTTGAGAGAAGATACAAATACTTAAAGAAAGTAGGTATCAATTTACTAAAAAAATTGCAACTTTAAAACACATCTATATCTATATATTTGAACTAGCAGACCTCTCAAATGTTGTTTTGCTATATACATTATTTCTATAATATATTTTTTCAGTTCAATATTCATCAAGACTTATTATTTTATTTACTACTTCTTTTTAGTTTCACTATCTATAAAAGTGTGTTTCTTTGGTTTTTAAAACTACCATTTATTTTAACTTCTTTTTAGTTCACTTGAATTTCCCAATTTTGACGAAAGAATCATAATATCCGACTCCTAAAATCCCAGATGAAAATTTTGGATAGAATCGGAACATAATTACAAAACTCGTCTACAATATTGGATCTACCATCTTGAATTCCCTAATTTTGACGAAGGAATCATAATTTTTGAACCCGAAAACTCCCACTTACAAATTCAGAATAGGATCGGTATATAATTAAAAAAATCTAGTCCGGTATATTGGTTTCACTGTCTTGAATTTCCGAATCCCGCCCTTATCAAATTTTGACAAAAGAATCATAATCCCCGATCACCCGTAGGTACGAATTTTGAAAAGAATCGGATTATAATTACAAAACTCGTCCGCCATATTGGTTCTGTCATCTTGAATTTCCAAATCCCACCCGAATTTGCAAATTCTGAAGATTGAATCATAATCTCCGTCCCCGAAAACCCCCTCGATTCAGCGTGCCATTTTCTACTGGAAAAGCGATAATTCGCGTGAATTTCCGCGAATTCCTGGCACTTTCAGTCGTCCGAAGATAGCTCGGTGACTATATCGTAGGGTAGGAAAATGAAAATTTTACTTTGGCCTATTAAAAATCTGATTCGATGTCGGAATGAACGAATCTGTGGTGGAAATTAGGAAATTTTGGGAAATGGAGACGTAGTAGCCTACCGGAGTGCACCTATTGGCAATGAAATCGGAAAGCTGCCTTTGAGCGCCGATATCTCGAAAACTATCTGTCCTATCGGGCTGATCATGGTCTCATTCGATTCAGCGTGTCATTTTCTACTGGGAAAGCAATAATTCCCGTGAATTTCCGCCGTTTTCTGGCACTTTCAGCCGTCCGAAGATACCTCGGTGACTATATCGTACTGAAGTCTCAGGTGGGGAAATGAAAATTTTTATTTGGCCTATTAAAAATCTGAAAAAAATCACATGGACTAATTCGATGTCAAAATAAACGAATCTGTGGTGAAAATTCGTTAGTTTTGGGAAATTGAGACATAGTAGCCTACCGGAGTGCACCTGTTGGCAATGTAATCGGAAAGCTGCCTTTGAGCGCCGATATCTCGAAAACTATCTGTCCTATCGGGCTGAACATGGCCTCATTCGATTCAGAGTGTCATTTTCTACTGGGAAAGCTATAATTCGCGTGAATTTCCGCCGTTTTCTAGCACTTTCGGCCGTCCGAAGATAGCTCGGTGACTATATCGTACTGAAGTCTCAGGTGGGAAAATGAAAATTTATATTTGGCCTATTAAAAATCTGAAAAAATTCACACAGACTAATTCGATGTCGAAATAAACGAATCTGTGGTGAAAATTTGTGAGTTTTGGAAAATTGAGACGTAGTAGCCTATCGGAGTGCACCTATTGGCAAGGAATCGGAAAGCTGCCTTTGAGCGCCGATATCTCGAAAACTATCTGTTATATCGGGATGATCATGGTCTCATCCGATTCAGCGTGTCATTTTCTACTGGGAAAGCAATAATTCGCGTGAATTTCCGACGTTTTCTGGCACTTTCGGCCGTCCGAAGATAGCTCGGTGACTATATCGAACTGAAGTCTCAGATGGGAAAATGAAAATTTCTATTTGGCCTATTAAAAATCTGAAAAAATTCACATAGACTAATTCGATGTCGAAATGAACGAATCTGTGGTAAAAATCTGTGAGTTTTGGAAAATTGAGACGTAGTAGCCTACCGGAGTGCACCTATTGGCAATGGAATCGGAAAGCTGCCTTTGAGCGCCGATATCTCGAAAACTATCTGTCCTATCGGGCTGAACATGGTCTCATTCGATTCAGCGTGTCATTTTCTACTGGGAAAGCTATAATTCGCGTGAATTTCCGCCGTTTTCTGGCACTTTCGGCCGTCCGAAGATAGCTCGGTGACTATATCGAACTAAAGTCTCAGGTGGGAAAATGAAAATTTTCATTTGGCCTGTTAAAAATCTGAAAAAATTCACATAGACTATTGAATAGAATCGAACCATAATTACAAAACTCGTCCGATATATTAGATCCGTCATCTTGAATTTTCTAATAGTACTTGGATAAAAAGTATCTTATTACCTTCTCCTGGGTCTAAGCTACCTCCCCATCAATGTTCAGCCAAATCGATACAAATGAACAAACAAACAATCAAATCTCTCGTCTTTATAATATTAGTACATTTTATATATATCAGCTTCTTTCAAGTACTGAAAATCAGGATATTACTCTGAAATATATATGATTTGGTGGAAAATACGATGGAAGGAACTTGCAAAGAAGGCTCAAAAGAAAAACATCAGCGTTAAATTTTATGACTTTGCAATTTCATTGGATGTTCAAATTCATATAGTTTAATCATTTTTTTATTCATATTTTATGAATATCATTTCTGGTGTTGAGTTGGCGGGAATTTGGTCGAAATGTTGAAGAAAACCAATTTTTAAATTGTCGCCGTTTCGAAACTTTATTGTTTCATCTTCAGGGCACTGAAGTAAAAACAAGAACATACATATTAAAATGATATGATAAAAGCAAAATAAGTTATGTAAAATAACAATCGTTGAAAATAAAACACTTACCACACTTTACAGAAAACAACATTGATAGATACTTACATTCAGGGTGGCTTTCCGGGTTTAGAAATAGTGAAATAAATAAAATCGACATAAAGTATAAAAACGTACACACAGGTTCATGAAAGACCTTAACACAGACACGAACATGAAGGAATGAACAAACTGAACTGTCGTTGAATCGTTTCTTTATATTGCAAAAAAGGTTCGTGTCTGTGTTAAGGTCTTTCATGAACCTGTGTGTACGTATTTATACCTTATGTCGATTTTATTTATTTCACTATTTTTAAACCCGGAAAGCCACCCTAAATGTAAGTATCTATCAATGTTGTTTTCTGTAAAGTGTGATAAGTGTTTTATTTTCAACGATTGTTATTTTACATAACTTATTTGGCTTTTATCAAAACCCCTCATTTTAAAATATCATTTGAATATTTATGTTCTTGTTTTTACTTCAGTGTCCTGCTGAAGATGAAACAATAAAGTTTCGAAACGTCGACAATTTAAAAATTTGGTTTTCTTCAACATTTCGACCGAATTCCCGCCAACTCAACACCAGAAATCATATTCAACGGTCGCCATTCTATTCATCTATGAATATCTTTAATAAATCTTTTTTTCTGCAACCGACACAAAAGTCGTCCATTTTGATACCGAAATTAGCTCTTAAATTGACGTTTCTATTACTGACACTAAAGTAGGTATGTTGCTAGGCAACATATTTAGTTCCTAGGAGCTAAAGTTGATTTTTAGTTCCTAGGAGCTAAAGTTCAACTTTCAAGGATGTACCTACTGGACCTCATCAAGGATAAACAACATTGTGACGGTTGGTTATTTGGGTTGAGACGCATACCTGATTTGTTTCCGATTTCGGCAGATTTAGCATTTCATACCCATGCTTGAGGTATAGATACACCGTATTATAGTTAAGTATTTGGAATTATGAACATCTCAGTTAAGTATTTCTTTTTTATCAAGGAAGGAAGCCTTCAAGAATCAAATACTTGCTTGATCTGTATTTCATTCGTTATTCTCGGGATGGATAACTTGTTTTTGAATAATCACGGCAAGCAATAGTTTTTTTGTCTCAAACAACGATATTGTTTAGAGGAGATATGGAGAAGAATAAATAATCACTATTATCGTTGATATGCTCACTAACCTAACATTTTCCACGTCTTGTTCCTATAGCTGGCACTGGCGCGGTATTTGCCATTAGAGCACCTGGTCCATACACAAATATGTCACTCTGTAGTTGTATTTATATTGAAACTACAATTCGAACATCCTTGAAATCCTAACCTGCTGTTAATGCAGGAAAAATATTCTCACCACACGGATTATTTGTCAATATTTGTTGCATTGCATACATATGGCACGGCATTGGTGGTTACTTCACATGTTTATTTGAGTTAATTGTTTCGGTTGCAGAAAAAATAGCATGTTTCATTCGGATCAAAAGTGACTTTGTTCGACTCGCAAATTTTGCTTTCGCTCGGCTTCGCTAAACGCTCCGCCTCGCAAATGCAAAATTCGCTTGTCAAACAAAGTGTCACTTTTGATCCTAATAAAACAATCTACTATTCATAAATCTCGTTTCATTTTTCATCTAAATGAAATGCAGCACATGAAAGTCTGAGCACTCCTGTTCTACACCAATGGCAGGAAAAGGGATTGAATATGAAATTTGGATTGCATAACTTGTTTCATAGATCTGAAAACACTATTGTTCATTTAAAAAAAACACAACCTCTCAGGTTATTTCGACAGACGCGATCAACCGGAATACAGCACCTTCCGACGAGTCGCCACCAATCTAAAGGACGACTGTCAATTCCACGTGGGCTTCGATGAGGCCGCACGTCAAATGCACCCCCCTGGTCAACCTATCGTCGTCTTCAGGTACACGATTCAAAAATTGATGAAATAAACCTCTGGTGCTCTCACTCTTCATTTGTTTCGTCAGACTGGTTCTTGATATAAACAATTGAATTTTAGACGATGACGTGGGGTTTACATATCGAATGTTAGATGGCGTGATTCTTAGAACTTATGATCAACATCAGTTCTACCAACCTTGATGCGGCTAAATCGCAAAATGTATTCCCTATCTTCATTGGTCACAATTCGGTCACAATTGTCACATTGATGCCTGTAATTTTGGTACGACACCAGACTAAATTTAGCGACATTCACCCACGCCATGTTATCATCGAAGTAGGCGAAAATCAAGGAATTGTAAAACAGGAAAGGATTGAAGTGCGTGCACCAGAGGTTTATTTGATCAATATTCAAAATATCACTTAAAAAAAATGAAAATCGTGATTTTTTTCATTTACACTGATTTTACTCTATACAGGGTGGGCCACCAGTAACGCCTCGGTCTCTAGAAGGCTAACCACTTATCTTCTTGGAATTCTTCCTCTCTAGGAAGTTGCATGTCAACATAGGCTACCATTTAAAATTATTTAGAAACATACAGGGTGTCCCCAAAAACCATAAAACACTGAAGTTAAACTTTTTTCTATCGAACACCCTATATATTATTTCATTTTGAGATTCTTCCTGGTGAGCTGATTTCAACAATCCATCATACTTGGGGTCTAGCAGTTATAATTACTGAGATATAGGGTGTGAGAAATCGAGATTTTCCAAGTTCAAAAATTTGTTGTGTCTAAACCATTCATAATTGGTCAAAACGGCTCACATGTCCCTATCTCAACTTATGATCAACTATCTACTGACATTTAATTGAAACAAATACAGGGTGGTGCATAATTCAGAATCTTGATCACCCGGTATATGTCCCAATTGAATATCAGTAGATAGTTAATCAAAAGTTGAGATAGGGACATGTAAGCCGTTTTGACCAATTATGGATAGTTTCGACACAAAAAATTCTTGAACTTGGAAAATCTCGATTTCTCACACCCTATATCTTAGTAATTATAACTGCTAGACCCCAAGTATGATGGGTCGTTGAAATCAGCTCATCAGGGAGAATCTCAAAATGAAATAATATATAGGGTGTTCGATAGAAAAAAGTTCAACTTCAGTGTCTTATGGTTTTTGGGGACACCCTGTATGTTTCGAAATAATTTTAAATGGTAGCCTATGTTGACATGCAATTTCCTAGAGAGGAAGAATTCCAAGAAGATAAGTGGTTAGCCTTCTAGAGGCCGAGGCGTTACTGGTGGCCCACCCTGTATACAGGGTGGCATTGAAATAAGTGCAAATATTTCAAACACTGAGAAAGCTCGACGTGTACTATCGAATGGCACTAATAATAAAAAAAAATTTAGGGATCAAAATAAAATTTGCGGTTAGACCCCTTTTTCCGTCCAAAGTTCTACACGGTGGCAAATCTGACGTCACCTCTGTTCAAATTTCCATGCGGTAGGCACAATCACGCGTACGAGTTCAATTATTTGAATTGTTTCAAAGTGGCATACTTGATTTTTTTCTCGTATTTTGTTAAATTTTTGGGATGAAATTTCTCGTTAATTACAAGAATTAGAAAAAATCTGATATCATGGAGATATTCCTTAGATTATATCATATCAGTTTGCTGAGTATGTGCACTTATTTCAAAAACACCTTGTATATGGAAATGATTAACTGCAAAATCATGTATTTCCATAATTTTTCTTCATTCACCCCAAATAGCTTTTTTTATATGAATATATTTTATAAAGATTCACAATGAAATAACATGAATAATCAGACAGATTCATATCATAGATTATTCATGCATTATCAAATCTAAGCTATTGAAATAAAAAACAGATTCAAAAATGATAATAATCAAACAAAAAGCCCATGAACAGTACATTATGACACGATGAAATAAATTAGTAAATGATAAATCATTCACTCAGGTTTGATTTTCTCTTTGCAAGAAGATATGTTTTTGACTTTAATTTTGAATTGGATGATATTTTTGCAACTTTTCAACCATCATCAGGTAATTTATTGAATTTTGTGATAGCTCCGTGAGTAAACTTTTTTTGGAGAAGTGTAGAATCAGCAGCATCAAGATGATGGAGAGTTATATATACATATTGTGTCTTATTAGAATTAAGGGAAAGAAGATTGGAGTATAGACATTCTTCCATTTTCTTCAAATCCTCATTTATGTTGTTTTCTGAAATTACAGGGTTTTTGTTTTCAAATATAAGTACTGTGTCATCTGCTTATATGGCATAGTTTCCTATTGAATTTATTTTTGAAATGTTTTGAATGTATAAATGATACAGAATCGGGCCCAATACTGATCCTTGGGGAACTCCTTTGTTCATATATAGTATTTTAGATTCACAATTATTGCTTTCAGTACTGATAGTCCTTTTTTATAGATATGTTTTTAAGAGATTGTTTCCAATTCCTCTGATGCCCATTGAATTGAGGTTTTTCAGGAAAATATTGTGGTCAACTGTATCAAATGCTTTTTTAGGTCCATAAAAATAGCTACTACATAATTTTCTTTGTCAAGTCTGTCTTGTATAAAATTGATTACTTGTAAAACTGAATGTTTACGTTGATATGATGTGGATTAGTTACATTTTTGCACAATGTATGTAAATACTAAGTTCAAATTGAATATCTTCCTATTTTTTTAATTTCCTGAAGAGTTAGGTATCTGCTTCAGTGATATATTTTTACAGCAACTCATAATAAGATTTAAATCACGATTCGAATAAAAACTAACCTCAATCTACGTTTCAAAAAAATACATCTTTATACGAAAATATCAATCGCACTACAATGTACATTGTAATATTTCATTGTATATGACAAACTGCCAGAAGCTATAGTACATGAATATTGTTACATCCTTGAAATCGAATCTCGAACATTTTCGGCAACATTGCCATTATCAGAAATCTCTCCTGACCTTGATCTTGGATAAACACATACTATCTCGCTCTCTCTCTCTCTTTAGACCAGACAAAGACCGCTCCAATGACATGGATGAAACTTACCCTGGCAGCCTCAACAATTTCGACGAGCTGCACGTGTGGGTATCAGAGAAATGCGTTCCTCTAGTCAGAGAGATCACTTTCGAAAACGCAGAAGAACTCACCGAAGAGGGTTTGCCCTTCTTGATATTGTTCCATGCGCCGGAAGACACGGAGAGTATCAAAAGATACAACAAACTGGTGCAGACCGATTTGTTGTCGGAAAAGCGTAAGTCTTGAGATTATGACGGTTAGAACATTCAAAATGTGGGATAGAACATTCAAAATGTGGGATGTAACATGAAAATGTGGGTTAGAACACTCAAAATGTGAGTTATAAAATTCAGAATGCATATTTGAACATTCAAAATGTGGTTCGAACATTCAAATGTGGGTTAAAACATTTAAAATTCCGTTGAAGGACTCAAGATGTGGACTTGAATGGTTAGAACATTCAAAATGTGGAATAGAACATTCAAAATGTGGGATAGAACATTCAAAATGTGGGATAGAACATCAAAATGTGGTTAGAACATTCAAAATGTGAGTTAGATTATTCAAAATGCATGTTTGAATATTCAAAATGTGGGTTCGTACATTCAAATGTGGGTAAAAACATTTAAAATTCCGTTGAAGGACTCAAAATGTGGACTAGAATGGTTAGAACATTCAAAATGTGGGATAGAACATTCTAAATGTGGGATAGAACATCAAAATGTGGGTTAGAACATTCAAAATGAGAGTAAAAACATTCAAAATGCATGTTTGAACATTCAAAATGTGGGTTAGAACATTAACATTTAAAATTCTGTTGAAAAAAACAAAATGTGGACTAGAACAGTCAAAATGTACACTTGAACAGTCGAAGGGGGGTTAGAACATACAAAATATTGATTAGAACATTCGAAATGTGCGTTAGAACATTCGAAATGTGCGTTAGAACATTCAAAATGTTGGTCATAATGTTCAAAATGTGGGTAAAAACATTCAATATCGCTCGTAGCATTCAAACTGTTGACCAGTACAGTCAAAATGTAGACTAGAACAGTCAAAAGGGCGTTAAAACAGTCAAAAATGATGGTTAGAAAGTTCAAAATGTCAGAACGTCAAAAGATATGACCAACTGTTGCAGACCGATTTGTTGTCCGAAAAGCGTAAGTCGTGGGAAAATGTCGGTTAGAACATTCATAATGTGGGTTAAAACCTTCAAAATGTGGGTTAAAACATTTAAAATGTGGGTGAGAACATTCAAAATGCTTGTTTGAACATTCAAAATGTCGGATAGAACATTCAAAATGTGGGTTCAAACATTCAAAATGTGGGTTCAAACATTTGAAATGTGGGTTGGAACATTCAAAATGTGGGTTAAAACATTTGAAATGTGGGTGAGAACATTCAAAATGCTTGTTTGAACTTTCAAAATGTCGGATAGAACATTCAAAATGTGGGTTCAAACATTCAAAATGTGGGTTCAAACATTTTAAGTTCGGTTAGAACATTCAAAATGTGGATTGGAACATTCAAAATGTGGGTTAAAACATTTGAAATGTGGGTGAGAACATTGAAAATGCGTGTTTGAACATTCAAAATATGAGTTAGAACATTCAAAATGTGGGTTGAAACATTCAAAAGGTGGGTTAAAACATTTAAAATTTGGTTGAAGCGTTCAAAATGTGGACTAGAACCGTCAAAATGTCGATCAGAGAGTTCGAAATGTAGGTTAGAACATACAAAATCTGGGTTAGAACATTGAAAATGTAGGTTAGAACATTCACCATGTGGGTTGGAATGTTCAAAATGTGGGAGACAATTTCGACGAATTGCACGCGTGGGTATTATAAAAATGCTTGCCTCTAGTCAGAGAGATCACATTCGAAAACGCAAAAGAAATCACCGAAGAAGATCTGCTCTTCCATGCTCCTCAAGACAAGGTCAGCAAGTTGTGAGAAAATGTCGGTTAGAACTTTCAAAATGCGGGTTATAATATTCCAGATGTTCATAAAAACGTTCTATTTGTTAGTTAGAACGTTCAAAATACGGGTAAAATATTTGAAAATGGATGTAAGAATCAAATCAAATCTGGGTTAGAACGTCTAAAATGTTGATGAGAACGTTTAAAACATTGGTTAGTACATTAAAAATCGGGGATACATCATTAAAAATGGGTGGATAGAACTTTGAGAATGTGAGTTGGAACATTCAAAGTGTGGGTTGGTACTTTGTTAGTGCAAGCCTAAACCACAATTTTATGTAACGGTTTGGGTTGGGTATGTGAATAAGTCGAACCCACACTCATATTTCTCCACTTCCATTCCAGAAACCATCAATTTTTTGACGGCCGACGGCAAAAAATTCGCCCATCCGCTGCACCATCTCGGCAAGAGCGACAAAGACTTGCCGCTGATCGCCATCGACAGTTTCCGGCACATGTATCTCTTCCCGGACTACAAGGACATCGAAACGCCCGGAAAACTGAAGCAATTCATTCAGGATTTGTATTCCGGGAAGTTGCACCGCGAGTTTCACTACGGGCCCGATTCTGATAGTGAAACGGAGAAAATTGGGCAGACAACTCCGCCGGAGAGTACTTTTAAGAAGTTGGCACCATCGAAAAATCGGTATACTTTGTTGGGGAAGGACGAGTTGTAAGGGTGTGGGTGTGTTGTTTTGTGTTTTCTTTTTTTGGAAAAGTGGGAAAGATTGTGGGTTTCCATGAAATGAGACTTTTTTAAGAACAATTACCTCAACAGCTACTACTGCTTACCTTAGGAAAGTTAACCACATTATATTAACGCAAAAAATTACCAACAAAAGAATGACTAGGAAACAAGCTTGCAAAAAAATTGTCGCTGGGAACTTACAGCGTAATAACTTATTAATTTTATCACTGTGTATAAATTTACCTGAAAAGAACACAGAAATCCTGTCAGCTGTAAGACATTACAGGTGATCGTAACAAACTTGCAGCCGGAAAATAATTACTTTTGCCTCGAAAATCAGTGAAACCAGCACAAAAAAAAGTCTATATCTGGCATATGCACCTCTTCCCGGACTACAAGGACATCGAAAAGCCCGAAAAACTGTATCCACCAAGAAAATTTGGAAGCTATGTTGATGCAAGGTTGTAGCAATTATTGAAACTGACGTTCAGCAATATTGCAAGTGTAAATTTGTAAATGTAACGTTCCAGCAATGTCACAGTGATATGTAATATTGCTGCAATGTTACATTACCAAACTTCACCTCTTCAATATTGCTGAACGTCCGTTTCAGTAATTTCTTGAACATTGCATCAACATAGCTTTCAATTTTGCTTCGTGGGTAACAGTTCATCCAGGTTTTGTATTCCGGGAAGTTGCATCGGGAGTTTCACTACGGGCCCGATTCTGATAGTGAAATGGAGGAAAATGGACAGACATCTCCGCTGGAGAGTACTTTTTAGAAGTTAGAGCCTCGAAAATTAGTGAATCTAGCTCAAAAAAAGTCTACATCTGGCATATGAACCTCTTCCCGGACTACAAGGACAACGAGAAGCCCGTAAAACTGTACCCACCAAGCAAATTTGGAAGCTATGTTGATGCAAGGTTGTAGCAATTATTGAAACTGACGTTCAGCAATATTGCAAGTGTAAATTTGTAAATGTAACGTTCCAGCAATGTCACAGAGACATGTAATATTGCTGCAACGTTACATTACCAAACTTCACCTTTGCAATATTGCTGAACGTCTGTTTCAGTAATTTCTTAAACATTGCATCAACATAGCTTTCAACTTTGCTTAGTGGATGGCAGTTCATCCAGGCTTTGTATTCCGGGAAGTTGCATCGGGAGTTTCACTACGGGCCGATTCTGATAGTGAAACGGAGAAAAATGGACAGACAGCTCCGCCGGAGAGTACTTTTTAGGAGTTAGCCTCGAAAATTAGTGAATCTAGCTCAAAAAAGTCTACATCTGGCATATGAACCTCTTCCCGGACTACAAGGACAACGAGATGCCAGGAAAACTGTACCCACTAAGCAAATTTGGAAGCTATGTTGATGCAAGATTGTAGCAATTACTGAAACTGACGTTCAGCAATATTGAAAATGTGAGTTTGTAAATGTAATGTTCCAGCAATGTCACAGTGAATTGTAATATTGCTGCAACGTTACATTACCAAACTTCACGTTTGCAATATTGCTGAACGTCCGTTTCAGTAATTTGCTTGAACATTGCATCAACATAGCTTTCAACTTTGCTTAGTGGGTGGCAGTTTATCCAGGCTTTGTATTCCGGGAAGTTGCACCGGGAGTTTCACTACGGGCCCGATTCTGATAGTGAAACGGAGAAAAATGGACAGACAGCTCCGCCGGAGAGTACTTTTTAGGAGTTAGCCTCGAAAATTAGTGAATCTAGCTCAAATAAAGTCTACATCTGGCATATGAACCTCTTCCCGGATTACAAGGACATCGAGAGCCCGGAAAACTGTACCCACTAAGCAAATTTGGAAGCTTTGTTTATGCAAGGTTGCAGCAATTATTGGAACTGACGTTCAGCAATATTGCAAATGTAAATTTGTAAATGTAACGTTCCAGCAATGTCACAGTGACATGTAATATTGCTGCAACGTTACATTACCAAACTTCACCATTGCAATATTGCTGAACCTCCGTTTCAGTAAATTGCTTAAACATTGCATTAACATAGCTTTCAACTTTGCTTAGTGGGTGGCAGTTCATCCAGGCTTTGTATTCCGGGAAGTTGCACCGGGAGTTTCACTACGGGCCCGATTCTGATAGTGAAACGGAGAAAAATGGACAGACAACTCCGCCGGAGAGTACTTTTTAGGAGTTAGAGCTCCTCGAAAAATCGGTATACTTTGTTTTGTAACTGTTTTTTTTTTTTCAAAGGACTGTGTATCCATGAAATGAGAATTTTTTCTCACGTTTTGGCAGAAATTACCTCGGAAATATAATTTCCGTCAACTAGAAGAACAGATTTACCACGAAAATATGACACATTGCGGCGGCATCGTTTGCCTCAGAAATTGTTTCGTGGAGGAATAATTACCACGTGAATTTACCACTGTGAATAAATTTACCACCAAAAATCTAATAATTGTTGAATAATTGGTGTCATTATAAGCTTTAGACCCGAATGACGAAAGATATTTCCGGTTTTCTCTCGGTTTTTTCCTATATTACCATTATTTTTTCGTGGTAATTCTTTTCGCGGTAATTTTTTCCTATCATGTTGGGATATAACGGGTTTGGATATAAGTTTAAATTGTTTTCCTCCAGAGTCAATAAACCTTGCATCACATTTTGATTTCTTGTTAGTCTTTCTGAAAATTCAGAGTATCTCATTTCATGGATCCCCACCTAGGAAATGCGAGATATTAGCTTATTCCTGATTATTTTATATTTGCTCTGATATTTTCAATAATCGCAGACCATTTTAACAAAGAAATTACCTCTCAGAATTTGTTTTGAAACTGAAATGGCATTTATATTGTTGTATATATGAAATTGGTAAGTTATTGTATAATCTATAATTATTTTATAGATGAATGGAGAAATTTGAATAAAATTTAGTGAGAAAAATAACAGATTTTTTTTTAACCTCTGCCCATATTTAAGAAAAAAGATGGAGTTTCTATACCAGGTATAGAAATTGATAGTTATTTATCATACAAGGGAGAACAGTAGATTTCAGAGCCATTTTCCTTCTTCTTAGGAGGAAAATGGTTATGAATTTATTGTATGAATGGGAATCTCAGTAGCCGTGCAGTCTCCAGAATTTTCAGATATACACCCTGTATATGAGTTTCTAGTTCATTCTGATTTTTAAACGATATCGGAAATAGAGCAAGGGACCTTTCTTTCCGGGAAAAAAAAATTTAAAATCGTCGTAGAGCCTCCAAATTTGGCATGAAGGAATTTAATGCAATTGTCTACTCCCCACCAGTCATTCATCTCTCTTTTCATGTAGAAAATGAGTTACGAATCAGTTTTTGTATGGGAATCGTGGTGACCGTGCAGTCTCTAGAATTTCCAGAATAACTGAAAAACTAGACCAGATAGAGGAAAACGGACCTAATATTCTTGTTCAGCACAACGAGAACACCCTGTGTATGAGTTTTCAGTTCATTCTGATTTTTATACGATATCGAAAATTGAGCAAGGGGTTAACCTTCTTTCTTTCCGAGCCAAAAAATTTGAAATCGTCGGAGAGCCTCCAAATTTGGCATGGAGGATTCTAATGCAATTGTCTTCCCCCCACCAGAGTCATCCATCTCTCTTCTCATGTAGAAAATGAGTTATGAATCAGTTTTTGTATGGGAATCTTGGTGACCGTGCAGTCTCTAGAATTTCCAGAATAACTGAAAAACTACACCAGATAGAGGAAAACGGACTTGATGCTCTTGTTCAGCACAACGAGAACACCCTGTGTATGAGTTTTCAGTTCATTCTGATTTTTATACGATATCGAAAATTGAGCAAGGGGTTAACCTTCTTTCTTTCCGGGCAAAAAAATTTGAAATCCTCGTAGAGCCTCCAAATTTGGCATGGAGGAATTTAATGCAATTGTCTACTCCCCACCAGAGTCATTCATCTCTCTTTTCATGTAGAAAATGAGTTATGAATCAGTTTTTGTATGGGAATCTTGGTGACCGTGCAGTCTCTAGATTTTTCAGAATAACTGAAAAACTAGGCCAGATAGAGGAAAACGGACTTGATATTCTTGTTCAGCACAACGAGAACACCCTGTGTATGAGTTTTCATTTCATTCTGCTTTTCATACGATATCAAAAATTGAGCAAGGGGTTAACCTTCTTTCTTTCTGGGCAAAAAAATTTGAAATCGTCGGAGAGCCTCCAAATTTGGCATGGAGGAATTAAATGCAATTGTCTACACCCCACCAGAGTCATTCATCTCTCTTCTCAGTAGAAAATGAGCTATGAATCCGTTTTTGTATGGGAATCGTGGTGACCGTGCAGTCTCCAGAATTTCCAGAATAACTGAAAAACTAGTCCAGATAGAGGAAAACGGACTTAATATTCTTGTTCAGCACAACGAGAACACCCTGTGTATGAGTTTTCATTTCATTCTGATTTTATTAATACAACATCGAAAATAAAGCAAAAAAATTTGAAATCGTCGTAGAGCCTCCAAAATTGGCATGGAGGAATTTAATGCAATTGTCTACTCCCCACCAGAGTCATTCATCTCTCTTTTCATGTAGAAAATGAGTTATGAATCAGTTTTTGTATGGGAATCTTGGTGACCGTGCAGTCTCTAGAATTTTCAGAATAACTGAAAAACTAGGCCAGATAGAGGAAAACGGACTCGATATTCTTGTTCAGCACAACGAGAACACCCTGTGTATGAGTTTTCAGTTCATTCTGATTTTTATACAATATCGAAAATTGAGCAATGGGTTAACCTTCTTTCTTTCCGAGCCAAAAAATTTTAAATCGTCGTAGAGCCTCCAAATTTGGCATAGAGGAACTTAATGCAATTGTCTACTCCCCACCAGTCATTCATCTCTCTTTTCATGTAGAAAATGAGTTATGAATCAGTTTTTGTATGGGAATCTTGGTGACCGTGCAGTCTCTAGAATTTTCAGAATAACTGAAAAACTAGGCCAGATAGAGGAAAACGGACTTAATACTCTTATTCAGCACAACGAGAACACCCTGTGTATGAGTTTTCAGTTCATTCTGATTTTTATACGATATCGAAAATTGAGCAAGGGGTTAACCTTCTTTCTTTCCGGGCAAAAAAATTTGAAATAGTCGTAGAGCCTCCAAATTTGGCATGGAGGATTCTAATGCAATTGTCTACTCCCCACCAGAGTCATTCATCTCTCTTTTCATGTAGAAAATGAGTTATGAATAAGTTTTTGTAATGGGAATCTTGGTGACCGTGCAGTCTCCAGAATTTTCAGAATAACTGAAAAACTAGGCCAGATAAAGGAAAACGGACTTAATATTCTTGTTCAGCACAACGAGAACACCCTGTGTATGAGTTTTCATTTCATTCTGATTTTCATACGATATCAAAAATTGAGCAAGGGGTTAACCTTCTTTCTTTCCGGGCCAAAAAATTTGAAATCGTCGGAGAGCCTCCAAATTTGGCATGGAGGAATTTAATGCAATTGTCTACTCCCCACCAGAGTCATTCATCTCTCTTTTCATGTAGAAAATGAGTTATGAATCAGTTTTTGTATGGGAATCTTGGTGACCGTGCAGTCTCCAGAATTTTCAGAATAACTGAAAAACTAGGCCAGATAGAGGAAAACGGACTTGATATTCTTGTTCAGCACAACGAGAACACCCTGTGTATGAGTTTTCATTTCATTCTGCTTTTCATACGATATCAAAAATTGAGCAAGGGGTTAACCTTCTTTCTTTCTGGGCAAAAAAATTTGAAATCGTCGGAGAGCCTCCAAATTTGGCATGGAGGAATTAAATGCAAGTGTCTACTCCCCACCAGAGTCATTCATCTCTCTTCTCATGTAGAAAATGAGTAATGAATCAGTTTTTGTATGGGAATCGTGGTGACCGTGCAGTCTCTAGATTTTTCGAGATAACTGAAAAACTAGACCAGATAGAAGAAAACGGATTTAATCTTCTTGTTCAGCACAACGAGAACACCCTGTGTATGAGTTTTCAGTTCATTCTGATCTTCATACGATATCGAAAATTGAGCAAGGGGTTAACCTTCTTTCTTTCCGGGCCAACAAATTTGAAATCGTCGTAGAGCCTCCAAATTTGGCATGGAGGAATTTAATGCAATTGTCTATTCCCCGCCAGAGTCATTCATCTCTCTTCTCAGTAGAAAATAAGTTATGAATCAGTTTTTGTATGGGAATCTTGGAGACCGTGCAGTCTTTAGAATTTTCAGAATAACTGAAAAACTAGGCCAGATAAAGGAAAACGGACTCAATATTCTTGTTCAGCACAACGAGAACACCCTGTGTATGAGTTTTCATCTCATTCTGATTTTTATACGATATCGAAAATTGAGCAAGGGGTTAACCTTCTTTCTTTCCGGGCCAAAAAATTTGAAATCGTCGTAGAGCCTCCAAATTTGGCATGGAGGAATTTAATGCAATTGTCTACCTCCCACCAGAGTCATTCATCTCTCTTCTCATGTAGAAAATGAGTTATGAATCAGTTTTTGTATGGGAATCTTGGAGACCGTGCAGTCTTTAGAATTTTCAGAATAACTGAAAAACTAGGCCAGATAAAGGAAAACGGACTCAATATTCTTGTTCAGCACAACGAGAACACCCTGTGTATGAGTTTTCATCTCATTCTGATTTTTATACGATATCGAAAATTGAGCAAGGGGTTAACCTTCTTTCTTTCCGGGCCAAAAAATTTGAAATCGTCGTAGAGCCTCCAAATTTGGCATGGAGGAATTTAATGCAATTGTCTACCACCCACCAGAGTCATTCATCTCTCTTCTCAGTAGAAATAAATAAGTTATGACTTTATTTCTGTATGGGAATCCCAGTGACCGTGCAGTCTCCAGAATTTCCAGAATTACTGAAAAACTAGGGCTGATAGAGAAAAACAGACTCCATATTCTTGTTCATTACATCTAGAACATCCTGTATACAAAATTTCTGATCATTTTAACGCCTCTAAAAATATGAGAACAGTTCAAATAAGTGGTTCGAAATTCGAATCCAATCATTTCTCCACCTTAATTTATCACATATGCTCCAGAATAAAAAGAAATTCTGAAGGGAAGGGAATTAAAACCAATTTTTTTTTCGACTTCTACGTCCACTTTATTACACAACTATAAACAGCGCCACAAAAACTGTAAAAACTTAAACCTAAATATTTAGATACAAAAATAAGAATAAATTAATCTCTTTCTACAGGGTGCATGTCAAACATTATCGACACCAATCAACCCTGATACATATAATCTTTCTTTTTTGTTGAATTCTGCAAGCATTCTAACCAAAAAATTATCAATCGATCAAAAATTAAAAATTTCCAGAGTTGGAAGGTCCTCTCAACGTGACACACGGTATATATTTATATGGTATATATCTATTGTTCGAATTAGTACATTCAGAATGCAAGTATTGATTCTTTCGATTTTCTGCCATTCATCAGAAAAACTAGTGCAAAAATCCTACAGTATTCATGAGATTGATAATACAGGGTGTTTATTGAGAATTCAAAACAAACTTGAGAGGAAGAACTTCTGAGCGATTCTGAGATGAAAAGTACATATAAACATAATATAGGTCCAAAAATGCAGTTTTCAAAATACTGGATGTCGAACATCTTGAAAAACGTTGTTTTTTTGCTTGAAAAATCCTATAGGTATATAGGTACCTATATACAGGGTGATCCACGGTGGATGGCCTATTAGAAGTATCTGAAGAACGAAAACACAGAACATTCTGAAAATTGGGATGCTCTCATGATTGACCATTTTCTATCCCTCTAAAGTATTTTCATCGATACAGTGTTGCCACTTCTATCAGAAACAACTAACAACTTCGTTATTTTAAATGGAGCACCCTGTATTTTATTGCAATTTTAGATTTTTCCTGAAGAGCTGATTCCATCGATGTATCACACTTGGGGTCTAGCAGGAATGATTACAGAGATATAGGGTGTTCAAAATCGAGATTTTTCAATTTTAGGATTTTTTGTGTCGAAACAATTCATTATCGATCAAAACGGCTTACATGTCCTTGTCTTAACTTTCGATTTAATATCTACTGACATTTATTTGGAACAGATACAGGGTGATCAGAATTCAAAATCTTGAAGCACTCTGTATTTTTTCCAACTAAATTCCAGTAGATAGTGAATCGAAAGTTAAGATAGGGACATGTAAGCCATTTTGATCGATAATGAATAGTTTCGACACAAAAAAATCCTAAAATTGAAAAATCTCGATTTTGAACACCCTATATCTCTGTAATCATTTCTGCTAGACCGCAAGTGTGATACATTGATGCAATCAGCTTTTCAGGAAGAATTTAAAAATGCAATAAAATACAGGGTGTTCCATTTGAAATAACAAAGTTGCTAGTTGTTTCTAATGAAAGTGGCAACACTGTATCGATGAAAATAATTTAGACTGATAGAGAATGTTCAATTATCAAAGTATCTCAATTTTCAGAATGTTCTGTCATTTCGTTCCCCAGATACTTCTAATAGGCTATCCACCGTGGATCACCCTGTATACTTACTCTATTTTGTTGTATTGAACTACTGATCAGGCCATAATAAGTTGAAGAAAATCGTTTCATTGTTTAATCTTTCACAACCTTGTATCTCAAAAGCTCTATGTGCATTTACAGATCTGGGTATATGTACTTTTCATCTCCGAATAACTCGAAAAATCGCCCCTTAAAATGTTTCCGAATACTTCAAAAACACTCTGTATAGCAGCGAGTTCTTGCGATGAAAACAAATGAAAGAAATGAAACTAATCCGGAACTGAATCAACAGGTCAGATCAAAGACGGAAACAACTCCGATATACTCTCATCCCAAATATCCTCCTCGATGCTGCTAGGAGAACCGATCGATTCGTATCCATGGTCCGAACTCGAACAAGACATGGGCGAAAGACAGATCACGTTTTGTGGCACTGTCAGGTGACAGTTGATAGGTGACGTATCCTCGCATATCATCGCGTTCTGTGGCGCAGGCGAGCAACAAGTGACAGATGACGTTGACTCGCATATCATCGCGTTTTGTGGCTTAGGAGAGCAACAAGTGACAGATGACGTTGCCTCGCATATCTTCACGTTCTGTGGTTCTGACAAGCGACAGTTGACATCAGGTGTCGTTTCCACGCATGCTGTGTTGTCATTCACGTAAATAGTAACGATGTTTTTTGTATCGGAGATGTTGGTTTTAGGTCTGATTGGCTTGAATTTCTTGGTTTTTTTGTGCTTTTTGGGGCTAGCCGGTGGTTTGGCTGCATAGTTGTGGTGGAGCAGTAGGTACTCGGAAAAGTCAGTTTCCGAGGATTCTCCTTCTTCTTCTTCTTTGTTTAGCAGGGCATGCCCATGGGGTTCCAGCTTTGCTGGTGTCTGCCCCACCATTTGTCCGAAATCGGAAGATGCCTGTAAGGACGAGATTGTTTTAGGTTTCTTTGAGGGACGTTATCGAGACGTTATTTAGACATCACATAAGCTTCCGGCACACTATTGATATAGATCAATTGTTTATGAAGCGCAACTCTTATTATTTTCATTGTTCTTCAACTCGGAGATTTGACAAGCATTAAGAAAATTAGGATATCTTCGTAAATAATTGACCTTTATCGCAGTTTCTCAAGAGGGCATGCTTCTGACTAATAATAAATCAAATGAGTGCATCAACCTCATTTCATGGCACCGAAATCATTACTATATGAATATTGTTTATTCAGATTGTATTAACAAATCGAAAAGTTATTTTTGCAGATAGGAGCTGAGATTACATCATATTTATGTGACATAATGCATGAAATTCACTTGTATTGCATGATATTGTAGAGCATTGCGTATTGCCAGGGAAATGGGCAGTACTGCAAGACATTGCAAAAACAACTGGAATATAGGTACTGTGCGTGGAATAAGTACTGCCGGTTTTAGCCGAATTCTATATATGGACTCTGTTTGATAATTATTTTGGTACCTCCTTCATAATACCTCGCAATATTCCGCAGTTCTCCACAATAATTCGAAGTACTTCGCAACATTCCATAGTAGAGGTACTTTCGCAATAGCCCGCATCACTACACAATATTTCCCCTCTGTAAAACTCCACAAATTGATTCTAAATTCTCCGAAATACCCCGCAGTACTCCACAATACTTCGCAGAATTCCGTATCATGTACCCTCGCAATATTCCACAATATAGCTAACAACTCCGCGATTGCCTGCAGTGCTTCTTTATTTCTCACAGTACTGCATAGTACCTATAACTTTATCATACTTTAGAATACGATTCTATATATGATACCACGTAGTAATCCGCAATATTCCGTAATATCTCGCAATAATCCATGCAATATCCCACCATGTGATATTTATTCCACAAGAAATCTATATATGTTCTCCGAAATATGACGCAGTTCTCAACAGTACCTCGCAGAACGCCGCAGTACTCCACTTATTGTACTACGAAGTATTGTGATCATAGTGCGTAATATCTTTGATATTGCGTTGTGAGTTAGAGTGTTATAAAGTAGTGCGATGTACTATGAGATTTTATTTTATCAAGACATACTCAATAAATTATTTAAAAATTTGGAAATTCTCTTTTCTAGAAGTAATGATGATCTGAGAATAATATATATATAAAGTGTCTCCATTCATTCCGATCATTTTGATTGATTCCATCTAATTTTGTTATTCGATATTTCTTTTCATAGATAATCGCCATGAAATGAAGTTCTTGTACTTGACTGAAGCAAGATGTTGAAGTCCTTTTAACAAACATGATCCTGAATTGAGTTTAGCTTCAACATCTTCCCCTGTTGCCAAACATAATAATGTGTGCAGTGCCCTGTGTGCTCATACAATGGATATTTACTTGTGATTTGCGTAGACGAAAAATTTCCACAAGTTGATTGAGAGTATAATTTGTTCGGTAGGTAGAGTAACTTATCAATATCATTCACCTTTTTACATTCATTTGCAAGTTTAGCAAAATACACTCAAGAGAGTATCTAGAAAAAGGAAACAATGAAGTATTATTTTAACTTTAAAATGATTGAAGTTTAATGGGAAAGTTTTCTTTCAATGAAAACGTGATAAATATGTAGCAAACCAGGTTTCGTTACTTGTACAGAAAGAAAAAAATCGATGATTCATTCAATGAGATATTGAGAGACATTCCAATTTTTTGAAAATTATCGAAAGTAAACTTTTTCGAATTAATATAATAATGTTGGGGACTCTGTATGTGTTCAGCAAAGCTATATTTACAGCCACCATATGGTAAAACAACTCCTATACATAAAACAAACAGGTAAGAATTATCTCGATCATTGATCGCTCTCATTATTACAGGGTGAACAACTAAAGAACGGCTGTCATCAATCATTCTTCCAACTTTGACAGTCATTATCTCTGGTCTGTTGAGATTTAGTTTCTCAATTTCATCGTGTAATAATGTGCATTTGATTTTTTTTTGTTAATCATGATATCTTTTGATACTCTAGATCACACCCACTAGCGGCAAAGGTGATATGAATATGAAACCAATTCGAATCACAGTTGATAGAAGAGGAAAAGGCTTTCACAAGGAGCCCAAGATTCTTGAATTCTGTTGAAGATAACCAGGTTCACAGTTGTTTGGAAAAACATAATTTGACGTTCCTCCCCCCACTTTATTGTTTGAGATAGGACAAAAAGTGTGAGACAATAAAAACTAGGAATTCATCATGGATCAAACTGCATAATTTTTCAGTTCACCTTGTAACTACTGAATACGGATAAAATTCGCACTGTCAATTGGAGCGCAACAGCGAATCATGCGGAATCATCTGCGGCGGCCGAGGCTATGAAAATTAGAATTCACAACTCGTTTTATGAATAAAAATTCTCTGCTCTAGTTGCTCTACCAGATATCGAAGCTAGCAACATTTCGAGGTTCTGATTGCTAATCGAGCGCTAACCACTGCCTGCCGTGTTGCATTATATCATCATGAAAGTCATAAAATTCGGCCACAAAAAAATTAGGCAAGTCATCTGACTCATAAAATAGGTATGACAGAAATTCGGTTATCAATCGGAGAAACGGATTTTTTTCCTTGTTCATAGTTGGTATATATGTAAATAAATTCCACACAAACATATCATTTCAATAAAAGTGAAGTAGCTCACTTGGACCGGGGTTCGAATCCCATGGCGGTCGTCTTTTTTTTTAATTATTGAATGTACCGGAAGACATGTACTGGCCCTGAACTCCCAAATGATTAACCAAATCAGATGTGGATATACAGTGTCATTCATAAAGTCGGCATCATATGGGAAAAACTTTTATTAATGACTTATTTTGAAATTCGAGTTGGACGTTATGTTCTGCTTCCAGAAAGATGAAAAATGGCCTACTCAATCGGGGTCACGTGACTTTCGCTACATGTGAAAAGTGACATTTTTTCAAATTAATCGCTGAAAGTAGGCTTATTTGTTCGAATATCGAAAAATTTTACTTGAAAAAGTTGTTTCTATTTGTATTTTACATATGTGACTCGGATTTTATCTTTCTATTACATTTTTTAGATTTCTATATTTTTTAAAATTTTTCGAAATTTCTGTAATATTAAAAAAATTGTAAATTCGATAAAACTACTTCATACCAGTGGGTTCATCATGTTACTAATTTTCAATCACTAATTATCACTAATTATCGACAAAAATATGATTTTCTTCAGAAAATGATAATCTCCTCTTCAAAATTCTGTTATGTTTGATCCAAACATAACATCAAAATTCTGTTATGTTTGAGTCAAGCATTTAGAAACGAAATTCATTTGAATTTATTTCTTCAGTACTAAAAAGATCAGTTTAAATGAATTTCGTTTCTAAATGCTTGACGATATATCAACTTTGCATCAAACATAACAGAATTTGAAAGCGGGTATTATCATTTTCTGAAGAAAATCATATTTCTGTCCATAATCAGTCATAATAAATAATTGAAAGTAAGTAGCATGAAAAAGCTACTGGTATGAAGTAGTTTCGTGGAATTAACAATTCTTCAAATATTACAAAAATTTCGAAAAATTAAAAAAAAACAAAATCTAAAAGTTGCAATAGAAAGATCAAATTCGGGAAGCATATGTAAAACTGAAATAGAAACAACTTTTTCAAGTAAACTTTTTCGATACTCGAACAAATAAGCCTACTTTCAGCGATTAATTCGAAAAAATGTCACTTTTGACATTTAGCGAAAGTCACGTGACCCCGATTGAGTAGGCCATTTCTCATCTTTTTTGAAGCAAAACTTAACGTCCAACTCGAATTCCAAAATAAGTCAATAATAAAAGTTTTTCCCATATGATGCCGACTTTATGAATGACACTGTATAACTGAATACGAGCAGTTTTATTGTAGTAATTATACTGATAATTATTATTATTAATATAATATCTTCTTTACATAACCTCAAAATTATCTGTGCAAGAATGAACCACTTGATTACAATAATCGAAAATGCACTGAAAATACGTCAATCAGATATCACTGGATCATCAATGAATAAGCGATAAGTTGAAGTACTGCTTCGCCAATATTGGCGTTAAGTAGGGTCCCTTGATGGAAATTGACATTAAAGTCATCTTAACAGGGTACGGACAGATCATAGCTGCATTCTTTTTTAATGGACTAGAGACTTTAGTTTTGTCTACTGGCATCCCTGACATTGCTGTCACTTCACATCCATGGGCGCTACAGAAAATCATTCAAAATTTTGATAATTGGTATGTACAGGGTATTTACTTGTTGAGGAACATCATATGGCGGACGAGTTTTGTAATTATGATCCGATTCTATTCAAAATTGGAAGGTATCTGGGGTTTTTCGGGGTTAGAGATAATGATTGTTTCGTCAAACTTGGAAAATTCAAGATGACGGATCCAATATATAGCGAAAGAAATTTCTAATTATGATCCGATTCTATTTAAGAATGGTGTCTGAGGGTTTTCGGGGTCGAACTTCATGATTTTTTGTCAAAATTGTGAAATTCAAGATAGCGGATCCAATATGGCGAACGAATTTTGTAATTATGATCCGATTCTATTCAAATATCAATATTGGTATCTATGGATTTCCGGGGTCGGAGATAATTATTTCGTCAAAATTGGGATACTCAAGATGGCGAATCCAGTATGGTGGACGAGTTTTATAATGAAGATCCGATTCTATTCCAAATTGGTATCTGGTAGTTTTCGGGGTAGGAGATAATGATTGTTTCGTGAAAATTGGAAAATTCAAGATGACGGATCCAATATTTGTATATCGCTACTTCAAAGTTGGGAACCAACTCCCCAGAAGTCGAAATTTGTGCGGGTTTAGGAAGAGCGGGACCTACAGCTTATAGTGGAATCGGAACCACTTCTGGGGCATCGAGGTGCTGCCAGGATTACAACCATGAATCACACATTTTAAAGAAAAATGCTCAGCCGACAGCCGGATTCGAACCGACAGTACCTCTGCATCGTGAACGGCTATCTAGCGAATTTCAGCGCATAGACAAACTTGGCCACGGAGCCCAATATGGCGAAAGACATTAATTTATATAATTATCACTCTACCACAAATAGAAAATATGTAGGATGCAAGAGTGAAAATAACGTGCCTATAAGTTATACTGCGTATACCTACTTCTTTGTTACTTTCATCAATAAATTATTCGAAAATGACTTGTTATTCAAGGGAGACGGAAAAATTAGTTAAAGTATATTCTTTTTTCAGCCTTCTTCTCGTCCTAGACGAAGTTTCATACATAGTGTGATATTAGACTCCATAAATTCTTCTCCGAGTTGGATTTACGAAAATATATTTAGCACACATTACATGAGCACAGTAGTTTTGATACCCACATCGAGGTTTCCACCATTTCTCAATTATAAGGCTCTGCTTATTCAGCGCATAGATAAACTACTGCTCAGCTTGAAATCAGTATTCATTCACTCAATTCAGTCAACCCTGGTATACAGTCTAAGAACAGTCTCTTTTGGTGAAATTGAGATGTCTCTAGTCATCTTAGGTGAAATATATTGAGCTTTCAGTACAATTAATATGTTCCCTACCTCGCAAAGATTATGCTGGAGTAGTAAACTTCAAAACTATAGAGGATTGTTCATCTATAACTTGGTATAGTTAAGTCAGGAATTCCATATGGAAATTACGTATGATACGCCAGTGACCTCAATATAACCTAAAAAACAACGAATGTCAAAAATCTAGTGTTTATCCCCAGAATTGAATAAGGATGGAACTATATATTACTGTTTCACAAACACTTTAGAGTGAGAGGAGACGAGGATCTGTCCGTACCCTGTTAAGATGACAGATACGTCAATTTCCATCAAGGGACCCTAGCGTTAAGTTGGCCATTAGGCAACTTTTGTATTTAACCATTGAAAAATGGTAATATTCAGCCAATGACAGCTCATACCAGGGTGGCATTGCTTTAAAAATAATGGTCCATGTATTCGTGTTTGCTGAGTCTGTGACATTTTGGGGCAAATCTCTGTAGGTAAACCGACAAAGATAATCAGAAAAAAAACGTATTTGGACGACTTACTTGCCGATCCGCTTCTTGGGCAGCTTCTTCCAAATCCTTGGCGACGTTCTGAAGTAGGCCATGGGCGAGTTGCTCCAAGGAGTCGATGTCGACGTCGACGTCCAATTCGTCGAGTAGGTCCTGTAGAGAAGGCAGCTCAGAGCGATCTTCAGCAGAAGCGCTGCCGACTGAATGGCCCTTCCTGGAAATGAACAATGAACTGTGTTCTTATAGTGCCGAATTTGCATTTTTTCATTTTTAGACCCCCTTAGAAACACATTCGGTCCGCCTCTGGAGTCGTGATTCGGAAAGATTCACGAAATACGATATTTTTTTTAGTTTGGACACTCAGAAATAACTTGGTACGGCCCTGAAGTCATGATTTCGAAGGCTTTACGAAATAAAAATTTTTGATATCAAACAGCCTTGGAAAAAACTTGGTACGGTCCTGCAGTCATTATTTTGATAAGGCTTTACAAAATCACATTTTTTTGTTTTGAACCACCTCATAAAAAAAATTGGTAAGCCCCTAAAGTCGGGATTCCGAAGGATTAACGAAATAGAGTTTGGACACTCTCAGAAAAACTTGGTACGGCCTTGAAGTCATGATTTCGAAGGGTATACGAAATTATATATTTTTAAACCCCCTACAAAAAATTTTGTACGCCTCTGAAGTCGTGGTTCCGAAGGGTTCATGACATACGATTTTTTTGAGTTTGAACACATTCAGAAGAAACTTGGTACGGCCCTGAAGTCATGATTTCGAGAGATTTACGAGATAAGAATTTTTGATCTCAAATCTTCTGAGAACACAGTTCCACACACAGTCCTGAATTCATTATTTCGAAGGATTAACAAAATTTGATTTTTTTATTTCGAACACCCTTAGAAAAAAACTTGGGTACGCCCACAAGGTCATGATTCCGAAGGAAGTCTGAAATTATTTCCCCTCCTGAAGCCATTATTTCAATTCTTTATCGATATATGTAAGAGGAATATTCTATACCCTCTCAGAGAAAGAATTGGTGTGCCCCTGAAGTAATGATTTCGATTCTGTATCGACGTACGTCTAAAACCATAGACACTTCTGTTTATATGTCTTTGTCAAAACGGTCGGAATAGGAGATTTCTGATCCCATAACCTCTCAGAAAAAAATTAGGTGCGTCTCTGAAGTCTTATTCATTTCGTTTCACTGAAAAACCTACAAATCCCAACTTTTAGACCTGACGAAGGAACTGTGAGATATTCCCACAAATTGGCAAGTATCTATTGTAGGAATTCGAAAAGTAATATGTTGCATTATATTATATCGGTAGCGTCTTCCTCTTTGTAAATATTGAGAAATTGCAAGGAACGCTCGTCTTCCGAAAACTTGGTTTTCTGTTTCGGGCCAGGGGCGATTTCACTTCCAGTCAGCTGCTTATGATCTATAAGGCACAGATCCGACCTGTCCTGGAATACTGCTCCCATATTTGGAGTGCAGCATCCAAAAATACCCTCAAACTGTTGGATTCTCTCCAAGAAAGGGCAATTCGTCTCGTGGGTGATGCCTCGCTCACAAACTCACTCACTTCTCTGGAACACCGTAGCATAGTTGGCGATCTGGCCCTATTTTATAGATATTTTCATGGACGATGCTCTTCTGAAATATCGAAAATTGTTCCTCCCTTGGCAGACCCCGCGAGATTAACCCGTCGAGTTGAGGCTTCGCACCCCTTCGTGGTCACTTTGGAGAACTGCAGAACATATCTTTCCAAAGACTCATTCATCCAACGAACAGCGAGGATCTGGCACACATTGCCTAGGGAGGTGTTTCCCGAGGCATATTACCTCCAGAAATTTAAGAAGAACACCAATTCTTACCTTATTTCCCTTGGTTTTCACGATGTTCTCTGAACATTATAGGATATCCCTTTTCGTGGAAACCAGAACATAAAAAAATACCTTTCTGTGGAAGGATGGACTCTGTGGATCCAGTAGGGGCCTCACAGTCGACAGACCGACTCTGCTTGTCATTCTGAAGGCACTTCTCGCAAGGACTTTGCAGCCTTGCCAGCAGGTCTACGTTTTCTTGGACTAGACGCTGATTGGTCGCCTTGAGGGCTTCGCACTCTGCCTGGACAGACTCGTTTTTGGAGAAGAGCTGTTGCAGAGCGTGTTCCATCTGCTCCATTTTGGCTTTCTTGCGGTCTCGGGACGTTTGGGCTGCCACTCGGTTCTTCAGTTTCCTTAAAATAAAATAAGAACGTTAGAGAATATACAGGGTGTGAATGAAAAATTGTGAACAAATTGATTTAGTGAATGACATATTGTTGTTTTCTTTGTGTAGTCTTATAGAAATAATGGAAATGGATACGAATTATCGGGCGTTATGATTCATTATGCCGTCCGTTGCCAAAAAATTTGCAAGTCAAGCAGAGTCACTTTTGATCCGAATGAAACATGCTATTTTTTCTGCAACCGAAATAATAAACTCAAATAAGTATGTGAAGTGACCCACCAATGCCGTGCAATATGTATGCAATGCAACAATAAATAAATAATCCGTGGGATGAGAATATTCTACCTTCATTAACAGCAGGTTTATTCAATTTTCAAGGATGTTTGAATTGTAGTTTCAATATAAATACAACCACAGAGTGACATATTTGTGTATGGACCAGGAACAAGACGTGGAAAATGTTAGGTTACTGAGCATATCAACAATAATAATAGCGACTATTTATTCCTCTCCATACTACACTTTCTTTGACTTGGTAATCATATGGAGGTAAACAATATCGTTGTTTGAGACAAAAAACTATTGCTTGCCGTGATTATTCGAAAACAAGTTATCCATCCCAAGAATAACGAATGAAATACGACAGATCAAGCAAGTATGTGAATCTTGAAGGCTCCTCTGATCAAAACAAAAATACTTAACTGAGATGTTTATTCCTATACTCAACTATAATAAGGTGTATTTATATCTCCAGCATGCATAGGTATGAAATGCTAAATCTTCCGAAATCGGAAACAAATCAGGTATGCGTCCCAACCGAGGTCCCAACCCATAAAATAGCCAACCATAACAACATATAGTACATCCTTTTTAATTCCTAGGAGCTGAAGTTCAACTTTGGCTCCTAGTAAATAAAGTTCAATTTTAGCCTGCCTCCGCTATGTATACGCGTCGGGAGATAACATAGAGCTAAAATCTAATACATTTTTCCCTTGTATAATGAATAAGTATTTTTCCATGAAATATATATGATACGAAATAACATGCATCCTGAATTAATTTCAATATGGAGTTTTATGATATACAATCGATTCTCATATCGCATCAGATAGTTAGGAAGATTACAAAAATCTTATATTATACAGGGTGTGTCATTTGACAATTGAAAGTTGACGTGAATTTCCGGAAATGCCATCAAAAAACCAAGTACCAATTTGTTTGTTTTTTCAAATATGTCAAGAAGTGCCGTGCCGGTATAGGTATAGGTATATGTAGTCTTCGTGTCATATCATAAAGGCTATCTTTATACCATTACGAACAAAGAAAATACGATATGATGTGTAGGTACCCCCAATACCATAATCGATTATACCCATAGCTGTCGTACTTAACTGGTAAAAGGTACCTGATGGAGAACGGAACCTACCGTATGTCTATTCTATATAATATTTTGTTTGTTTAATCTATGATTTTGCTATATAGGGGGAGGTTTATACTTTTACTACACCAAAATGGATGCGTTCGTTATTGAAGGAAAATCAACTCCTTTAGAAACTGATCAAAATAAAGTCATACTACTTATATTTTTATATTTATCAAGATCTTTGATGACGAATACGCAATAAATATTATAATTGTTTTTGGAAAAATGAATCAATATGGGAATAAATCGGAATATCTGATAACCATTTTTTGCCACATCACGCAAGAGCATAATGTAGATATATAAAAACTCACTTTCTTTGCATTTTTTCTTCCCACGTCAAGTGGTCGAGTCGTCTTTTTTTAGGTCGAGGGTGCATATCCATATTTTGATCCATACTGTAATCTTGACTATTCATTTCTAGATATTTCAAAATTGAGGTCACAGTAGTCATTATTACTATACCAACTGTATATTACGTGTGTGAATTCATACAATACCACTAGGTAGGCATATATATTTATCACTCTAACAATTTTTCTTCGTTATTTTCCAACAATGTTTCTAATCAAACTGCTGCGCTCAAATAAATAGTCTATGCTATAAATCTATAATATGGTGGGTACAACTGTTCTTGTTTCTATCTTCTCTGGCTGATGCAATATTGAATACGGATACTGAATGTTACCATCAGAAGCACTGTTGTCAGACGAGAATTGGAAAATTCCTTGACATAATTTTTGTGTGAAATGTAAATATGATTGGTAATTAGTGTCTTATGAAATTAAGAACCAACCCTCAAAGGGCCCGATGATAACATTTTGAAATTCTAAAAACCGAAAATTAGATCTATACTTCAGTTTTTCCGGAAACTAGGAATTTAAGAGCCACCCCTGGGTAAGTTTGGGCCATTCAATGATAACATTTTGAAATTCTGAAAACCGAAAATTAGATCAAATACTTCAGTTTTTCCTGAAACTATTAACTATTATAACTATTAAGATACCCTCAAATTTTGATTTTGGAACGGGCGGTACAACATATTATTTATCATTATTATTGATTTGTCTGAAGGAATATGAGACAGTCCATCATCGTTTCAAAGGATATAAAAATTCGATTAACTATTTGAGGTGAGCCTAAAAATTACTTAAAAATGGAACAATCGGAATTTTTTTCAACGGGAGAAACGCAGAAACCAACATTTTATATAGTCATCAGAGATTCACCTCTGCAACAACAATTCAAAGACTTAATTATAACTGGACAAACTCGAAAATTTATTAAAGAAAAAAATTATACATCATCCTGGATTCAAAAATACATTTGGAGTACCCGCTAGGGAATCCCTATTATGTTCCAGAAACGTCGCGGGTACCTAGGGAAGATAGTAAGAGATAATGCAGTTGTATCTTTTTCGAAATTTTGGGGATTATAAATTCCTCGGAATACTTCCTTTGGCAGAGTATTACAAAGTTTTGCCGTGTTATAGACAAAACGAGTTCCGGTTGAGAGTTGTTCGACATATTTCGAGGTTGACGACGAAAGGATGTGCTGACTGGGCTTGTCGAGTTCAGTAGGTATTGCTATAGTGATGGTGAGGTAAGGTTTGGTATTGATTGGGTCAATGTGACAATTCCGAAACCAAGTCACCCCCGATATATGTATACCGAGTTGAATTTTTTCTCAAAAGTATATCCCCATGTTGCGAATTCGTTTAGTCATTCAAATGAGACCTTATGCTGAATTCCTGTCCTCGATGTACTTTTTTTAAACGTGACAACGCTGTTAAGGAAAGGAAATATTGACATTTCTCGGCCTACGTTGTGCATATTTATGATGTGGTGTCTTCCGATTGGTCGGCACTGACAGCTATCTCACTCACATTCATGAGGCTAATACATCGATTTTTACTGTTTGTCTCTCTCTCTCCACATGCGCCTTAGCACTAGAGTGAATTAGAAAATCCTACCTCTATTATTTAAATTCCTAAATGCGTCATTTATTAATTATTTATAGAGTTTGCACTTTGGAATCCCCTGTTAATGATGAAATAGAATAGAAACTATATAGTCTAGTACCTACCTTCTACTAACTATATGATTAAATTATTACGAATCATGAATCACAATACTGCGTATATAATTTTACAACTGGGTAGGTACCTACCTATATTTACTTATTATTTATTTGGTATTGAGTCGTAATAGACGATATGCTTCAGTTAGATGAAGTTATGGAATTACACAATCCCAAAAACATCTAACTTTTCATGTCAGACGTGCTGACTGTTGGAAAAAATGTTAATGAACTTTATTTCAGGAAAAAACCTTTAAAAAAAATTAAAAAATAGGGGACACCCGGGTTTGAACCGGGGACCTCTCGATCTGCAGTCGAATGCTCTACCACTGAGCTATATCCCCATTGAAAATTCGTCTTTCACATCATCTTGTGATTTCGCATGACATTCAGGAAGCAAATCAACTTTGCTGGTGAATAAGTTGATCCTCCACATGAATTCAATTACGGCCGGTTCCATAAATGTCGTCAAAAAATATGAAGTTAGGAAATGGTAATCTTCAATTCGTAATTATTTTGCATTAGATCAAAAGAATAGTAATTTGTATTGTGCACTCACGTCTCTGAATTCAACGGGGATATAGCTCAGTGGTAGAGCATTCGACTGCAGATCGAGAGGTCCCCGGTTCAAACCCGGGTGTCCCCTATTTTTTATATTTTTTTTAATTTTTTTCCCTGAAAAAAAAACTCATCAACATATTTTTTAACATAGTCAGCACGTCTGACACAGAAACTTAGCTGTTTTTTGGGATTGTGTAATTCCATAACTTCATCTAACTGAAGCATATCGTCAATTACGACTTAATTATTATTCTTTCAGCCATTCTTCATCATATACACAATTTTCATCTCCCTATGATATAACAAAAACCATAGATTGAACAAACCACTATGCTAAAACTATATAACGAACTGACATCTGAGAATTATGATTTGTTGACATACTCCTGGCATCTGGGTGCATTTGTTTTTGGATTTATGATAAATTGAATTTATTCCCACGTCTTGTATTATGAATACCCATCAATTTATCATACATACATCCAAAAACAGTATTTTGATATTGAAAAATTTTAAACTCTAGGTACACAAAATATATATTGAAAAATTGCAGGTTTTTTTGACGGTTGTAAGAAAATGTAATTCATGTATCGAATTTCAGAGGTCAATTTGTAGAGGTGGCAAAAATTTAATAGCGTACTACCGTCAAATTAGTTTATCCGCCACTTCTTTTCTTCCTCAATATACGAGGTATTTCTGAAAAAAGTAACGGAGTTAGTTAATGAACGATAAAATTCAATTCAGGTGCATTAATGAATGAACGGGAATATCAAGTTTTAACTCACTAGTGGAATCGTTAATGATTGTGAAATTACAGATTAATGAAAAAGCCTTTACTCTCAATGTGGAACTTTAGCGCGATTTTTGTATTGATAGAGAAGCAGTTCTATAATGTGTGACCTAAGTTAATCACCCTGTATGTCTGGTGCAGCTATTATGGCGAAAATTTGCACGAATCATCATCATCAGAACAATGATGCGAAATGCACGCGATGCCTAAATTGTTTAAAATAACAGATACCAATGTTTCAATTAGATCTTCGAAGGATAAACACTATGGGAAAATATGTTTCGATACTCTTTTGGGCATTCGTGAAACACGAACTTCAGAAATCCATGTGGGTTATTATAAATATCTGCGGAAAACATGAGTGTATTGACCTTCTGGGAACTTCTCATTCCTCTTGCAAAATAATGAAGCAAGTCAGAGGTAATTTCTTTTTTTATTCACAGTCAAATGTTTTTCCAAGCCTGAAAGAAACTTTTTGAAAAATTTCAAGGTTGCTTCATAATATACACTCACCGGAAAAAATACCATTTTCTTAATTCTTGACCTATACTTTATCGAAATTCTGATCAAATCGTAGATTGATAATGTTTCTGAATACTAACCAGAATTCTAGCTCCGAAAAGAGCTGACGACTCGCTCATTTTATACATGGAAAAACAAATGTTACTATTCACGCTTAACTTCTCAACACCCTGTGGCAAAAGTGAGTGATCAAAATGAGCTCCATCATGTTTTTGATTGAAGTGTTGAGTCCTTCTTAACACAATGGTTCTCGATTCACATCGATATCTTCTTTTTAAGAGAAGATACACGTGTTACAAGAGAGTATGGACATTTCAAATTTGCAAACCTTTAATCTACAACTTGACCAATTGATATCTCTGATTTCCATCCCTATTTTTCAGCACTCACCATAGCAGACAGACAGCCCAATCACTAAAAACAAATGGCAAGCAGACCTCCTCTTGAAGAATTGCCGAAAACTTTCCAAAGATGCTCTATAGCACATCAGGTTAAGGAAATATTTTCTGAATTATTGTAATTGAAAATTATAAAATTCTATACTTTCTTAAAACACTTGGATCTTCCCTTGAGAAGAAGCTATTGAAGTGAATCAAGAGCAAACGATTGGAGAATGATTCTGAATTATTGTTGATAAAAATATCGATACACACTATTATTGTGTGTGTTAAACCACTATCATTTTCCACAGAGCGTTGTGAAGTTGAGGGTGAAAGGGTTACTTTGGTTTTTACTCGTATAATGATCAGGCCATCAGCTATTTCAAGGATTAAAATTCAGGCAAACATTCCGAAACATAAATCTACGATTTGGTCTATATCACACCAGAATGGTACTGGAATTAAAAAAACTTAGAGGGCGATCAGTTTCAATCAGATTCAATTTCACCAATGACATCAGAATTCACATTCACAGATGACAATAGCTCAAACTGGTCCCTAATAATCAACTACTGAATATTTATATACTAGTAGGATGTAGGATGCCTCAGTACCAATGAAATGATCCTAGTATTCCTAATGATGATCGAGTTTTTATTCAAACCCAAATTATTTTGTGGCCCTGGCAACAGCGTAATGTCTTAAGTTCCTAGAAATACAAAAAGAGAAGAAGAAGATGAACTACATGTCAACCTAACTTCTTAACGTTAAAATAGTCTGTCACCACCATCTTCAAGTCCTTGTTGAATTCTCTGTTATCTGCAATAGGTAGTAAGTCTCAAAAATGCATTTCTCATTTTTATAAGAGATATAATCAGAAATGGTCTTACAGAAATAGAAAATGCATATGTGAGTCGAATCTCACATGATTGCATTGTATTGTTCACAGGTGATTACGTCACAATAAGTTTTCCCACGTTTTTCATGTTATGAAATATCGTGAATTTTCCTAATTACTTAAAAAATGTATGGAGCTCAGAGGACGAAGAAAACGGTTCACGACAGCCATGATGAATCATTGATGAAATCTACTTATAACCATTGTAACTCAATCAAAATTTCGAAATCGGATTAGTTTATTCTATTTGCTTTCAATTTATATCAACCCAGATAACATATTTTGAATAAGATCATATTATTTCGCATCTCAGAAATATGAAGATAACTGTGATATTGCGCTGAAGCACCACTTTACGCCCGCAAAACCAGGCGATAAAGTTCTACTTTACGGCCGCTCGTGAAGAAACGTTATTTTCAGCGACATTTCTATCGGCTTTCATCTTTTCGTCTGCCCAC